ATTGTTATTGTTATTACTATTACTATTACTATTACTACTACCACTACAACTACTCAGAAAGATCCGTCGCGCGCGTGAGAGGGGACGTTAGGGGTGATCAAATCGTATCGTATCAGCACGGTATGTATGTAGTAGTAGGAATGGTGTTGGTGTTGGTGTTGGTGTTGGTGTTTTGTACCGTGTCTACTCTCTGTGCGCACGGAGATAAAGCGTGGGAAGGCTACCGTACCGTACCGTAGCCAGCTCGACGAATGGCTGGATGTTTGAGGCTCCGTAAGTAAGAAGGTGGTAGGGGGACGGGGGGACGGGGGGGAAGGAAAAACAAAACAAAACGGTCATTCCCGTAGGTACCTAGGTAGGTAGTAGTACCTACCTACTCTCGTCCTCAGCCACATCTAATTCAATCCCATCCCATCCCAATCCCAATCACAATCCCACCCAATCACAATCCCATCCCAACCCAATTAAATCCAATTAAAAAAAATCTCTTTCCGCTCAATCTCCCTACCCGCATCTTCTATTTCTTTTTTCTGTTTCATTTTCTCTTTTCTTCTTCTTGTTCTTTTTTTCATTTGCAGATTTTTTGTTTCTTTCCCCCCGCCTGCATTATTCCCATGCCCGGCCTCGTGCTGCTCCACGGTTATTTCAACATCCCGGATGCCGGTGCCGTGCCGGTCGCCTGCCTAACTCACAGTGAGTGCCAGATAGGCGAGCGGATGCTCGTCCAGGTCAAGTGTAGCTCGTAGTCTAATGACCCTCATGACCCTCATGACCCATATGACCCTAATGGTAATCAACAAACCCATTCACAACGTACCATCTGTTCTACAACGTCACAGGCGTAAGTGTTACACCCTGCGGGTAGCGTAGCCAGGAGGTTGGGAGTGGAAACTTAGACTCTGACGGCATCCTCAGCCTGTACCGGTACTGTAACACTCGGGCCTGCGCTGTGATACTGTGTTAGTACTGTACTTCTGGTCACAACCCCCCCCCCCCCCAGTCGGTCCCTGACCCATTTTTAGAACGCGCGGGATTCGCTGCTTTCGCCTATTGTTGCTCCTCAGGGATAGGGGCGAGGGGGAGCTTGGTAATCTTATCTATTTTCCCTCGTCTTTTCTCTCCTTTTTTTCCGTACCTCGGGGGACCAAACAACCCAAGTGGCTATTTTCGATCGGGTAGGTGGTCGCGTGCGGGACCATACGGTGGGAATCCGTCGGGTCTGGCTGGACGCTTCACTTCCGGAGAGAGAGAGACAGACATTCGTGCTGCTATGCACTTGTTAGAGAATATTCGTACCCGAGATACGGATAGTGGATGTTTCTGCTTGCTGATGTCAGCGCCGGTGCCCTAGCGAAAGTGCCAGGAACGGCGTGCCGCAAGCGCATCCGGGATTATGGAAAGCTTCGGCGGGCGGTTAAGTTGGAGTAGGTACCGGTAGGTACTGGCCCGTACTGGCCCGTACTGGCCCTGTACGGAGGGAACGACGATCATGGGAGATGGATAGCTTGGTATTCGGTGTCCCCGTGTTGTCTCGCAATCCGCTATAAGGGAGTCTTCATATTGTTGACAATGTCAGCTTTGGTTTGGCATTGTTCAATGTCAAGCGTCAAGCGTCAAGCGTCAAGCGTCAAGCGTCAAGCGTCAAGC